CCCACCACTCTCTCTCTCAAATAAATAAATAAATCTTTAAAAATAAAATCAAGGGCCACCTGGGTGGCTCAGTCAGTTAAGTGTCTGCCTTCAGCTCAGGTCATGATCCCGGGGTCCTGGGATTGAGCCCCGTGTCAGGCTCCCTGCTCAGCAGGGAGTCTGCTTCTCCCTCTCTCTCTGCCCCTGCTCCTGCCCTCTCTCTCTCTCATGTGTGCACTCTCACTCTCTAATAAATAAGTAAAATCTTCAAATCAAATCAAATCAAATCAAATCACATAGCCATGCTCTAAAACCCTATAAATGTTCTCCCCTAACATCCCTGTTCCAAGATACTGCTAAAACTCTATAAAGGGAGGGCTCTTCCTTGCTGCTAGAGTTTAATAAACAGCTTTGCTTATTAACAGGTTTTTCTGGTGTTCTTTTTGGGAGTCACAGGTATAATGTCGCTACACTCTTCCTTCTAGGCTGAGAATGACTATGTCTGTTTAAACTTGAAAATAATATAGATAGGTACTCCGTTTTCTCTTCAGTTGATAACCGGAGGGGAGGTGTGTGGGGGGTTGGGTGAAATAGGGGATAGGGATTCAGGAAGGCAATTGTCGTGATGAGTGTCTGGTGGCATATGGAAGTGTTGAATCACTACATTGTACATCTGAAACTCATATTAATTACACTGTATGTTAACTGGAATTAAACCAGCAAGTAAAGAATATTTTTGTCTTACTGAAAATTTGTGATACTCTTCTTGTGCCACACAGTGGGGCAAGGGAGGTAATTCTTTACTTGAGTGGGGTCCTGGAGTCTTTTAGAACTCTCCAGAAGGATACAGGTAGGTATGTGCTTTTCCATATAATTTCAAGGGTTCAGAGATCTTATAAAGCCCATCCGTATGGACTCTAAGTTATAAACTCTGTTCTAGAGCATACACTAGCTAGAGGAACTACCTTAGGAAACTCTTCTTTCTTTGAGCTTCCTTGTTCAAGGCCAAAGGAATTAGAAGTAAGGACCTTGGAGGCTCCAGATCATGCGAAGTGTGGTCTATGGGCCACTTTTGGTGCTTGTTTAAGATGCAGATTTCAGGGTTCCATTCCATTTTGACTTGTGCCTTCTCCAGGCAGTTCTGATACACACTGAAGTAAAGGGACCACTAATCTAGATGAACAAAGCAAACCAGTACTTCGAATCGAAAGCTCAATCTGTGTCAACTGTATACCCAGGTTCTCTGGGCACAAATCATGATGTGTTCATAGTATTGTTGCTACCTTCCACTCAAAATACTAGTCCAGGACTCTAAATGCATTACTTTACTCTCAATGGTCCAATACAAATATAAAATTTTAGAGTAGCCTTAAATTTAAGAGTAGGTCCCTGAACAGTATTTAGTGTTTAATACACTCATATCAAAGAAGCTACCACAAGTGAGCAGTAAAGCAGATGTCATAGGACTATGGGAGGTATTGCTGAATTCAATATTAATGACGTAGTCACTCATTTAAAATATTTAGTGGCCACAACACTGCTTCTATGGTAATTCCCACCCAGGCTATTAGAGGATGCCAAAACTGGTGATCAGTTTAGGCTAGGTCTATAAGGGATTGTCCAATCCCATTAAATCAGATCTTACAGGATAGCTAACTGGGTCTACTTGGGAGTGTTTCTAATGCAAGAAAGCATAAGCACCGTCAAGGCAATCTCCCTCTGGAACCATAAGGAGAGCACGGGGTGCTCTCAATTCCCCATTCCTAAGTAGTTGAGTCCCACTGAAGGGATCCAATCTAAACTTAAGGGTTTAATCCAGTCCATTTGATCAATAGAAACCCAGCCTCAGTTAAACAGTTTAATTAGTATCTCCACCTGGGAGTCCTGCCAGCCCTTCAAACTCCAAACTGTCCAGTAGGAAACTCAGCATCTGCTCATGGAAATTTGTAACTCCTGAAGGATGGCATCCTCACCCTTTTGGCTACCCTTGTATCATTTGAAGCCTGCAGTCACCTTTGACCTTGACCTTTCCTCCAACATCCAATCAATAACCTAAACATTTGAACCTCATCTCCATTCCTGCTGCCACCATCTCCCCTAGGCCCTCGTTACCTACGGCTTGGATGCTTGCGCAACTCCTCCAACTGGTCTCCCCTTCATCCAGCCTCACCCTCCGCCCTTAATTCACTCTGGACATTTGCTGTTAGGTAACTGTTCCCAAAGCATAAGCTTTCATTGCCTAATTCTCCTGTTTCAAAAAACTCCAAGGGCTTCCCAATGTATACCGGAAAAGGCCAGATTTCTTTCTTTCTTTTTTTTTTTTTAATTTAAAGTTTACTTAGTTAACATACCGTTCAATATTGGTTTCCAGAGTAGAATTTAGTGATTCATCACTTACACACAACACCCAGTGCTCATCACGACAAATGCCCTCCTTAATACTCTTCACCCCTCTAGCCTATCCCCCGCCACCTCCCTCCATCAACCCTCAGTTTGTTTTCTACCGTTAAGAGTCTCTTATGGTTGGTTTCCCTTTCTCCCTTTCCCCGCCCCCTTCCCATATGTTCATCTGTTTTGTTTCTTAAATTCCACATATGAGTGAGATAATATGATATTTGTCTTTCTCTGACTTATTTCACTTAGCATAACACACTCTAGCTCCATCCACATTGTTGCAAATAGACCAGATTTCTTGGAATACCATTTAAGGGCCGCTATGATTTGGCTCCAACTTAATGTTCAAGGCTTAATTCCTATGATTCCTTTTCTTGTATCTGTCTTCATTCAAAACCACACCATTTTGTCCCCATGCTCTCCTCACTATTGTGCCCTTTCTTATGTTTTTCCTTTTGCTTAGAATGCCCTTTTCCATCTATTCCAGATCCAAATCCCCTCGGACGTTCACGATCTCGCTCAAATGCGACCTGTTTTATGAAGCATTTTCCAACTCAACATTCAACAAATATGTACCAAGTACCAACTTTGCACCAGGCACTGAGCTTTAAGCCCTCCGAGACAAGAGCCTGCTTCCTTTTTCTTACCCAGCTGAAAGTAATCTCTTTTCTCTGAGTTCTCATAGCAAATGGACATATTTTATGTTATGTAACATAGTCCATATTGTACTGTGTTTCTTGATGTGCATACTTCTCTTCCCTTACCAGAATGAGCTCCAGATTTCCTAGTGCTTGTAAGGAGGCACTCGATAAATATATGTGAAAAAAAGTAAATATCCAGTTGTTTTATCTCCAAACAGTGAGAACATCATTTTTTTTCTGATTTGGTGGAATATTTTGATCATTATGTAGATTTAGTTTGAATTCCACAAGCAAAACCAGTAGAAGCACGTTCAAAAGAAAGGGACAGCATTTCAGGAGATATAAACTGTTGACAAAAATAAAAACCAATCTACCGACCATCCTAACAGGTTAGCGTTTAAAATAACTGACCTACCTACCTAAAAAAAATACTATTTCTTTGCCAGAATACCCAGCTTGTATTTATTATATCATAATGATATTAAGTAAATCAAGGGAGGAAAGGTAAGTATTCATCATGGAAGGTTGGAATTTTTGCTTTAGCTTACATTTAATAAACATATAGCATGTGCTAGGTAGTATACTAAGTATATTACATGCATTATCACATTCAATACTCATACAATAAGACTAGATACCTATGTCCAGAGCCTTCATTCTTTTTTTATTTTTATATTTAATTGTGGTAAAATATACATGACATACAAGTTACCATCTTAGCCATTTTAAATGTACAGTTGAGTAGTGCTAAGTATATTCACACTGTTGTGCAAACAATCTCCAGAACTCTTTTCATCTTGCAAAAATAGAATTCAGTATACAGAGTATTCTGTATCTCCTATGAGTAGAATCATACAGCATTTGTCTTTTCATGACTGGATTATTTCACTTGGCATAATGTCCTCAAGGTTCATCCATGTGGTAGCATGTGTCAATGGTCAGAATGTCCTTCCTTTTTTTTTTTTTTTTTTTTAAAGTAGGCTCCATGCTCAGCGTGGAGCCCAACATGGGGCTTGACGTCACGACCCTGAGATCAAGACCTGAGCTGAGATCAAGACCTGAGCCAATATCAAGAGTCGGACGCCCAACAGACTAAGCAACCCAGGTGCCCCAGAATGTCCTTTCTTCTTAAGGCTGAATAATATTCCATGGCATGGATATACCACATTGATTTATCCATTTGTCTGTTGATGGGCACATGGGTTGCTCCCACCTTTTGTATATTGTGAATAATGCTGCTATGAACATGGGTGTATAAAAATCTGTTTGAAAACCTGCTGTCAATTCTTTTGGGTATCAATCCAGATGTGGGACTGCTGGATCACATGGTAATTCTATTTTTATTTTTTGAGGAACTGCCACACTATTTCATAGCCTTTACTCGTTACCACTAATGATCTACTGCTATCACACTTGTCACCCAGGGTGACATCAAGCGGGCCAGCATCTGTCCTCTATAAAAGGTTGATTATCCAGGACTCTATGAATCAACAGGAAACTCTCACTAATGCTAATTATTTTAAAATAAAACCACACAAAGTAAGCCTTGTCTAAGATAATTGTCTATCTAATGCCTATGGGTATTCTTGCAGATACTCCATCATTTCTAAGAACTTTGAACTAGGTTACTTATTTTCTAGTCACTTCTCTGATCAGACTATCTATGTGAGTTTGGGCAAAGCTCCCCCACTGCATCTCAGTTTATTGGAACAGGTGACGCTCAGAGGTATAATGGTATGACCTCAGATGAGTTATTTTACCTCTCTGAACCTCACCTATAAAATGGAGACAGTGGTAAGACTTCCCTCATCTGGTTGCAAGAAAGGTTAAGTGAATGTAAAATGTTATCATCCCAGTGCCTGGCACATTGTAAGTGCTGAGTAAAGAGAAGTCACTATCAAGATGATTATTATTTTCATGATTCTTTGTGTAAGAGAAATAGAAACGTTTATCTACATAAAGATTTATACATGCATGTTCATAGTAGCGTTATCTACAAGAGCCAAAAACTGTCAATGGTCTGGAGGTCCTTCAATGGGTAAATTATTAAACAAACAGTGGTACATCCATACCATGGAATACTACTACTTTGCAAGAAAAAGGAACAAATTACTGATAACACACAACTTGGATGAACCCTAAGAGCATTATGCTGAGTGAAAAAAGCCAATCCCCAAAGGTCATATACTATATTATTCTGTGTACATGAAATGTCTAGAAAGACAAATCCCATAATACCAGATCAGTGACTGCCTGGGGCTAGGGTGGAATGGGGAATAGCTGTAAGCAGGTATAAGGGATCTTAGGAGGTGATGAAAGTATTCTAAAGCTGGATCGTCGCAATGGTAGCGCTGGTATATACATTTACCTAAACTCATCAAACTATACACTTAAAAATGGGTGAATTCTATAGATTTAAATTATACCTTTAAAAGACTGGGTTTTGTTTTGTTTTTTTAAAGAGACTCTCTATCTAAACTGAATCTATGTGACGGTATTCTGTTGGACTGCCAGAAACCCTGATCACTCCAAACCACTTTCAATTTTTCACTTACCGAGGGATGGGCTGCTATGTATCCGTGTGCACTTTTATCTGGAAAGTAAAGATAAAGATGTCACCTTTATTTCATGAAGCCTGCCTCACTTAGAGACGTTAATAAAAAATTAACCTGCATGCCTTTGACCAGAAGGAAATTCTCCAGTTCAGTATTGAATAGATACTATGACACATGACATCATTGTTCTGAAAATAGCTCACACCCTTGCCCCCTCACATGTCATTTTATAGACCTTAATGAAGGCCTCCAGCAAATCTCATCTATATGGAGGAATATCAAGATCAGCTACTCCTTTTTTTTTTAAGATTTTATTTATTTGAGAGAGAGTGCACACGAGTGCGAACGTGTGTGCAAGCAGGGGGAGGGGCAGAGGGAGAGGCAGAGAGAACCCTCAAGCAGACTCCCCGCTGAGCACAGAACCCAGTGCAGGGCTCGATCCCAGGACCTTGAGATTGTGACCTGAGCCAAAATCAAGAGTTGGATGCTTAACCAACTGAGTCACCCAGGTGCCCCAAGATTACCTGCTCTTAGTTGGTATGAGTCTATACACCTATATCCAGAATTTCTCCCCTACTTCCTCCCTCCCTCCCTCCACCTCCACCCTCCCTTTCACCCTGCCTTCCTTCCTTTCTCTTTCTCCTTCCCCCCACCTCCTCCCACCCTATTCCTCGGTCTCCAACACTAGAGCATCCATGGAGTGTCTGGTGAGTTTTACTCAGCTCAGAGAAATACTGGAATGAAACACTTTTGGTTCTGGTCGCCTGTGGTTCTCCAGTGAACCTGGAGGACAGTTCTAGACTTCCTCACATTAATTAAGCACTGTTTGAAGTGTCACTAGGATCTCTGAGACATTTCACTCTATGTGGAAGACTAAATATCATAAAACCTCTCCTTGCTGGCTTTTTTTCTTTTTGGTTTTCTGCCCTGAAGAACAGCAGTTAAGCTATCTTCTCAGTTAAAAACGTCCCGTGGAGCCGTGAATTACTATACACCTTAAGTTTGGGCTTTGACATGTCTTATGACCAAATGAGACACTCCTCCCCTTCCAAGTGTCCCTGGCACCATCCTTGAAGATATTTCAAGCCTGTCCTATGTTAAAACCAATGCCGAGAGGTAGGGGCTCTTTACAGCTGGGCCACTAATGATAGGATGTTCTTCTCTTTTTAGATGTTAAATAATAAGTTGTTCTAGAGAGGCACCCCAGATCATCTTTCTTGAGAAAGATTTGAAATGCAAAAATATTGTCTGGCACATATTTTTCAGTTGCTTATAGTGCAAATGTGAACCTCAAAGCTTCAAACAAAGGCTGGGTCTACGTGCTAGCAACTGAAGTCAAGATTTGGCAGGAACACGGCCATTTCGATTTCTTATAAATAGCCAGATATGATTTCTTTTTTTAAGCCTGATTTTGAGGTTGGATCAAAATAGCCTGGCAACCACAAAATGCATGCTGTATCATCAGGGTCCAATTCAATGAATTGGAGGGATAAAAAAACTTCAGGAGACCATGGCTGGATCCATACACCTCTTATCTCATGGACACATCACAAGGCCTGATCCTACGTGACTAAGTGTCGTCTTCATGCCAGTGCAGAGACCAAACATTCGTGATTGCTGATTCAAACTGACAACTGCTGCTTCACTGAGCAATTAATTACCCCTACTTGAGTTCTAAAAACAACCAAGTGGTAAACCTCCTCATATCAACTTCACCTTCCAACCCATCTTTCGATTTACTGCCTTTGAAGTCATTTGGAGAAGGCACTAGAACTGGCTTCAGATGCCCTACAGGCATTCTGTTCTAATCCTGAGGCTCTGAGATGGGAATTCCTTGTTCTCTCTTTGATACCTTGGATTTCCTCTTACCTCCTGACGTAAAGCTCATGTATTTCTGGTTGTTGACCGTTTCTTTGGAATCGTAGAATTTGAGAACATCCAGGACGGCTTGTGGGTTCTTCTTCTGTTCCAGTTTTGTTATGTTGGAGGTTTGGAGTAACCGTGCCCACTGCTCAGGGATTCCCTGTGGACAACCAGAGGGAGAGAATGGCAGCTCAGAACATTCAGCAGCTGCATTTTTATGTTCCAGTAAAGTTCTTCACCAAGAAGCCCATGCTACCTGTAGGATTACACTTGGGAAACTGAAGTGACACTCTAGATTTAAAGTTAGTAACTTAATAATGCAATCATTCTCTTCTCTAATTAAAACACATAGGTAAAACTAGGATCCAACTTAAAAAGGGTGGGTGGGAGTATGACTGTGATAGAAAAAAAAAGCGCATGAAAATCACCTCCATATTAATTCTGCTCATCCATGAAATGATGTTTACGGCTTAGCTTATATTTTCTGGCGACTCAGGGCAGACATAGCAAGACTTCTCTAAATTTGTGCACAGTATAGTATAGTGCAGATCAATGGATTTTATATGACTGGAATCACATAAGCTGTTTCTGGGCATGTCATAATCGGAAGATCTTTCTGAACAGAAGAAAAGCCTCACCTTTGGGCAGTTTACGCTTTGTGATTACAAAATGTAATTTGGGGGGGTGCTCTAGGGCTTTAATACAGAGGGGGATTGAGAGGAGGCAAAAATAGAATAGTGGAGGAGCAACACCACGGAGGTGCTAAATAGTTTCTCCTCTCCTCCCTCCATGCCCTCCTCCCCACTTTGTTCGTTGGCCACATGGAACCTGGGGACTGTGACGCACGTGCCAAAGCCTCGTGAGAATTGGCAATACTCTAAAGCATTTAGAGCAGACAGGAGGGAGCGTTTGGAAATCTAACCTGGGACAATTGCACCAATTACGCTGAAAGGTTAGTTTCGCGTTGAGCGTTTAGCATTCTTTCCTACATGTCCAGCCTACAGATGTCCCCATTTCGTAATTGTCCAGCCTCCAAAGGCAGCTTGGAGCAAGAGACAGACACATCGTTCCTGCAGTGCATCTAGACACAATTTATGTGGCCTTGCCCTCTGAAGTCTCGGCAAAACAATGTGTGACGTGGGCCTCCAGAGTTTGGGAATGACAACAAAAAAGTGAGATAAGCCAAGCAACAACTCTACTGCACACACATGAACCTGCTGCAGTGCTATGACATCTCAAAGAAGCACTTTGATGCAAGCTTCTTTTGGGCCTGTGACGCACCTCTGGGAGCTTCCCTGGGCACATCTGTGAGCCATAGAGATCTGGCTGTAATGGACGTAAATAAAGAAAGAAAAGAAAGTTAAAACAGAATGTGGGACAACTTAGAAGGTGGGAGGAGATGAAACCAATGGGTCTGAATGGGGGGGGTCATCCCTTCTCAAGTGGGGAGGTTATGAAAATCGAGAGGTCTTAACTCCATCAGGGGCAGGACAGGCTAGGACAACAGATTTCAGGAAACAGAGGAAAAAAAGACAACGTTCTCAAGTTGGGACGCGTAATTCCACTTGGGGCCAGATGCTTCCTCCATAAGTACACAATAGTAAGAATTACTGTTAAAGGACCGGAGAAATTACCAGAAGGCAGAAACATGACTTTGGAGGGAAGAAGGATGGCATCATGAAAAGCTCTAATGATAATTTGTAAGTCTGTATTTACAACCAGGTGATCACAGGTAGCCGATGGCCATGTGATGAACTTACAAATTTCAGTTCTCAATTCTGGTTAACCATTTCTGGTTTCAGCGTGGAAGTGTCTGTGTGGCTAAAATGGACAGGATGGCGACATGGGGATGCTAAATTTAACTGCATTCTCATTGATGCGACTCTTCTGCACGTTGCAGTGAGAAAGTCGTGACTGGTTTAGGGAAAACTAGATTAAGGATTTCCCACACAGCCAGACTCTACCTTTGAGTTTCTTTAGACCAGGGAAAGGGAAACCGTTTCATTTCAAACCATATATGAACAATTTCCATTTTAATACTGCAGTTCGGAAGTCCTGGCTTCCCACAGAATAAGATCGGATATAAGGTAATGGCTTTATCTAAATAAAGAGATTGTCTCCAAAGCTACAGAAACATGCTTCAACCCAACTGGTTTGATTTGGGATACAGGTCTTTGATTCCTGGCATTTGGGGTTACTCCAAGCACAGTGAAACGACACTTTGACATGCATTAATCACGCAATTCGATGCTAAAGCCTTAAGCCACATATTTGAACTCAGGAGCCCATGCATGATCCCAGTTCTGATTCTAAGTGCAATTAATAGCATTTGGTTAATACTGTAATGGCCAAAGGAGTTATTAAGTGTTATAAAACCAGGTATGCATTGCACATAACCACTAGGGCAGACATCACTGGCATGATCATTACCGTAATTATTAGAATATTTGCAATTATTATACATTCTGATGGCACTTCTAAACTTTTGTGATAAATAAATGTCTCGTAATCACTAGACAGCAGGAAAACAAGCTGTCAATTGCAGAAGATCCTTCAGACAACTATACTTACCATATGACTACCCTGCTGACATAATTTCTTGTTTCTTTGAGAAGTTGAGATAAACTAGTCGATCAATGAGACCTGACACTTAAATTTGAACGTACGCCACAAAGGCACATCATCAGATGGCCATCTCATTACTCCAGATTGAGGTACAAATCCCAAAAGTTAAGACAGCTAATGGAGACCTAGAAGTATGAGCATCAGAAGCAGGAGCACATATCAATGCCTGACCACGGGTACAATAACAACCAGATGTACAACAAGCTGGGGATTGTCCAGTGTAGCCCAGGAGAATGGCAGCATGATACAACAGGCCAAGCATTTATCTTATCATAAGAAATGATCATGTATATCACTCATACCATTCTTCCCTCTGATTGACTTGAAGCGACCGTCACAGGTCTAGAAGTCTGGAAGGGGGAGTTCTGAAGTATTTGGGACAAAAATGGCAATATAAAGGGTAAGGACTTTTCATAGTTTAGTACCCCAAATCTCACCTCCCAACCTAATTTGAATCTCAAGGTCCAAACGTATAACCAGGTGTACAAGGTTATATGGGCCAACTAGCCATAGGACAATCACCAAAGGGCACACCAAATTGGAGTCCAAATATTCACAGTGACAGGCCCTTGGAAGACAACTGAACAAGACAGTTCAACAAATTGCTCAAAATTCAACCTAAACAACAGCAATAATCAAATTTGGTAATATGTCCCTCCCCCTCTGCGTGCACACACACACAATACATTAGTGGCACCGTGGCAAATAGGACCCAATTTAAATGCTACCAACAAAATGATTTTAAAAGCTTATTATCATTTGGCATTTTTAAAAGTTAGTAAATGCAAACCAAAGGTGAAAAGAGTTAAAAAGTGCACAATTTGGCATCTTTAAATATAATGTGTGGACAAGTAGTTTCAAAAGACCACCAAGAGGACAATAAATGCACCAGATTTCCAAATTTAGCCTGTGTCTGTCTGTATATTCAAACAACTGCCTGCATCCAAACAGCTGCTTCATTTTAAATTGGGTGTGGTGGAGGCGGGGGTGGGGGTGGGGCAGGTTTTGGTTTGGTTGGGTTCAGTTGCATCAAACTGTTGGTCACAACTGGAAAGAGTGCCCATCACATATCCCACCCCCGGCCCTCTCTGGTGGGTTCTTTGGGTTCTAACCGATGGCCAAGTGAAAATGCAGTCAGCAAGATGATGGTGATTCACTTTTTTTTCATTTCCATTCAGAACCCCGAAAGAACAAAGAAAGAGCTCAAGATATATTGTATTATAAGATGTCAAGCAAGTTGGAAAGAGCGGAAAATATTTTTTAAAAATTGGAAAGGAACCAGAATGTCACATGAGAATAGTGGAGGAGAGAGCTTTCACATCAGACCAAAAGGAAGGAAAAAGAAAACGTGGCACGACAGCAGGAAAACATAAGAGAAGTTAAAGCAGAAGAAAAGCACATAGAAAACAAAAAAGGTCACAACTGCAAGCATAACATTCTTAAAATAAAAACAGGGAAGAGTTAGTAGACCACATTTATAAAGTTGAAGTGCTTTGACTGTTTCAAATGTCAAAAAAGTCATAACATCTTTGTTCAGATTATAAAAATCATTATTATTATTATTATTTTTGGTGGTGACAGCAGTCAAGGCCATTTGAATAATGTTTCTGACTTCATGGATGAAATTGGTTAAATCCTACCACTGTCTCAACTTTATTAACATCGGTATTTCTTTACGTTCTCTTCTGCTTACTACTGAGGGTATAGAAATAATCAGCTCATGTCACTTTACAAGGCCAAGATGTTTACTCCGTTGTGATTTTATTCTCATATTATATACTTCTGGAATTGGGGGAAAAAAAAAGGCAACTTGGTTGTCAATTCAGAGACATGGTTTGCTTCTCCAAATCCAGTCAATTTGTCCCCCGCCCCTTTTTGGTTCACTCAGTCATATGAGTTTACTTACTAACCGTCAAGTTACAAAACAGAAAATTTAATTATTCAACATCTAAAATTATCTCTGGTTTTAGAACCCAAGAATCATTGGTGATGATATTATAAAAGATTTTTCTTCTGAATGCATTCAAAATTACTCATCATCTCAGAATGTACATTTTTATTGAGATCCTTACTAGTATGGAAAAAGACAGTTGATCCTCCTGGGGACATATTTTTAGCCACATCTTTTCCTTCATCCATCTAAAAACAAAGATGCCAGATCTTTTAAAAAAAAAAAAAAAGTACAAAATGACTGAGATCTTGCGCTATTTGAGCACTACAAATATCCAAAGAAAGGCTGACTCTATAGCTATGGTCTTTCTGGAGAATTCGTATTGGTATTTATTGTGGATTGTATATGTGTAAAGCACATAACCACTAAAGCACACATGATATATTCATAGTCTTCCTGAAACATGGGGTTTGTTGTTTTGAAGGCCTATGAAATATGCCCGTTAATAGGCCTAAAAATAAGCCATGTTCTTGAAATCAAAGGGAAGACCAGGTCAATTGGACAGAGATTTTTGGTTAGTGTGGTTAGCTGATCTGGGTAATCCAGGTTCCAATGTCAAGCCTGAATTATTCAGATGGACTGTATTCACTGGCCAAGTTGAGTCCGTTGATTCTCTGATTCACTTCAAACAATAAAGAACAGGCTCAACAGAGTCTCTCTACCGGGACTACCTCTCCTGTGCCATGGAAAATTCGCATTTTCAATGACATTGAAGACTAACTGCGATCAGACATTTTTATGATGGACAAAATAATTTTGCCAATACTCTTGCCACTCTCTAGTTCCAACTGGGATTGACTCAGCATAGTCCATCTTCCTTGAAATCATCCAAAGCATCAAGCCTGACATTCTGGGACATGGGCATGTTTTCTTGAAACCTATTTTCACAAAGGAATTTTTTCATGGCTTGCAAAGCACAATAAGGAGCTTACTTACAGTGAACTCCCCGGTGACTGCGTCAAACCCCACATGAATCGTATGTTCAAAGTCTGAAGGAAGAGAGATCTCTGGGCGTTCTTTCTCCTTCTTCTTATTGGCTAAAGGCAAAATGTTAACATGTATTTATTGGGGATATAGTTTTGTCATCCCTAAGTTGTACAATTAGGTTCATCAAAAACAATTACAAAGTTGAAAGACAACTGATTCCAACACAAGCTTAACAGGATTTAGCTCCAGAAATTATAATTTCATCTGCAGAAGTAGCTGAGAGTTTGACAAAAAATGTTACATCCAGATAATATACAAATTTCCCAAATCAAGTTCAAACAAAACTTGCGGTCACACTGATTTATGTCCTTTACCAGTCTAATAATGTAACCCACAGGTATGTAGGTGTATTGTGGTTAACTGGCTTTGTTGGATCGAATAGGACTTACTAAAGAAGCAATTCATGATGATCAAGTCAAGCTAAGGTTTACTATTACAAAGAAAGAACAGAAAAGTGCTGAAGCTATCTATAAAAGCGTTAATTGTTTCAATGATAACCATAGTGAAATATCAAGAAGCTAGAACTTGTTTAATTTACATGTTTACATTTATGAAGCATATCTTAATAGACTCTTGGTCTTCTTTCAGTGAAAATACTACGGCAGACCATTAATGTTACACATCTTTATCACTAAAAATGTTTTTAATCATTTCCTACCCAGCACTTTGCTAGTAAAAAAAAATACAAATGGCTGATTTTTACTGAATTAATTTTATTTAGTTCTTAGTAACCTCAAATCAATGCTTTGGCTTAGTCATTCCAGTGTGTAGCTATTTTTCCATGTCCCTAATATATTTTTTTGTCATATTAGCCATTCAAAATCATTGTCCTCAAGTAGATTTTTCATAGTGACACAATTATGAATAAACACATCCACAGTTAATATGTCAAAAACCTTTAAAGATATTATCATTGGAGAAATTAAGTTGGGAACTGTAATGAAATTAGTCTATCTTGGAATAGATTCCAGGAGGAAGTTACTGTGGAAATGTAAAATGGCATCAAGTAGGTTCCATAATAGACACATAAGCAAATCGGAGCATGTATCTCTGATCGGGGTGCATTTCACACTCAAAAGACAATAATAATAATACTCACCCTCCTAATAATGGGAAAGTCAGCATGGTTTGCCCAATTGAAACCAGTCAATCTCAGAATTGCCAGGGTGGCCAACTTAGAACACTCTGGTTCAAACAGATGTTTCCTTGGTCTGAATTTCAGACAACATTCAATTAACCATATACGGTTTTGTGAGTTACCCAGGATAAATTTTCAATTCAAGACCTTTCACATTCAAATGTCATTCTCATGGCTTCTTGTCTCTTTCTACCCTCTCTCACTGCTCCCTATCTCCAGCTAGGGGACAGAGAGATGGGGCAGAAATATGTACATTCAAGGAGTAAGAAGATTAGGATACAGGATTAGGAAAGAAAGACTGGAGGTGGGGGTGGGGGGGTAGGTGGGGGACAAGGGTCACTCAAAGCCTCTGCCTGGCCACGGAACACATTAGGACTCAATTTGAAAAGTACATATGTGCCATTCAACTTGACTTCAGCATAGATGCCGTGTTTACAGCAAGCCTACTTTGTTGAATATGATCCTAACAATGAAGTGTAGAGTTTTTTTGTGGGTACCTACTTCTGCTGTGTGTTCTGGCCCCATAGCTACCACTCACACTTGCTTGGCCGCCGGGCAGCTATCCTAGCCACTCCTGTAATCGTGTCCTTGTTTTTCCTCTTCCCAGCTCTCCCAACCATGTTGGACGTGGCTGACTCCCTCTCTTTTTACTTCCTTCACAGTGTGGTCCCATTCTCCTCCTCCCTCTGTGACCATTCTTTATTTGACTGGCATCGCTTCTCCTTCTGCCTTTTCTAATGCAGTCTTTGGCCTTTAACAATCCTTTCTTCACCCCTGTTCCTCCTGGATGGTAGCCAGTCCCAGATACTAACCCATGTGGTGTAACTCCCTGATCTGCGGTTGGCTGGGGATGATCCGGGTACTGTGAGACCAAACGCTTTATACAATTTGAGAGGAATGCTCCCTTTAAGGAAAAACACTCCAAGACTACCAGGGCCCCTCCTAGGGCTTTGGAAGAGCCCCAGGCTAGTGAGGAACTCTAGAGAAGTGTTATTCACTTCATAGTGAATCTACTTCTAGTGACAGGTGACTCTCTTGGGGTCAAAGACCACTCTGAAAATCTGAAGGCGGCTATGGAACTTCTGCCCATAAATTGCACTGAACATATCTACACAATTCCCCATATAATTTCAGAGGTTCAGAACTCCCCTGGACTCCAGGTTGAGAACCCGTAGCTCAGTCTACATCTCCAATCACTGTATCAACTTGCATTCATGACCTCTCTTGCCAGCAAACAGTCTCTTCTTACTTTCCATTAGCAATGGTTGAATGTTTAAAGCTTATTGACTTAGCCTAACCACTCCACTTGGGCTGAGCTATAGGAATTGACTTCATGGAGTCTCTCCAGAAGGCTACCTGATTGCCAGTCCCTTACCAGCCTGATCATGCCCTTCCCTTCACGCAGGGCTAAGCGTAACAAAGGCAGGAAGCCCAAACTTGCTCTTCCTTTCTCTCAGTGAGATCGTACCACTAACCACGCAGATCAAAGAAGGATTCAGGCTTTAGACACCTCTTCTTTTGGGAGGCCCTGAGCAATGAAAAGATTACGACCCCCTCCCTCTCCAATATATAATTCAAATAAAAAAAATACTAAAGCATAAAAAGGTAAGCAAGTCCATAAAGTTCTGCTATTCCTATGGTGATGAAGTCTTTCTGAAAACTACATATACAAACTAAAAATGTGGCCAGGTTTTGGGGGCCCCTGATTTGCAGGGCCTGTAGCACACGTTAACTCTCTTTATTGGGTAATTCAGCACTGGCCCAACTGCCCATGCCATAAATTTGGGAGCTTCTCTGACTCCCACTGTATTTCTACCTTAATTGGTCACCAAGTTCTATTCCATCTCCCACACTCCCACACTCATCTTGAATCTCCCTTCTTCCTTTCATCCCCACAAACCATTACCTTAGTCTAAGGTACCACTATTGCTCACCTGATCTTATTGCCTCCAATCTTGCCTCCTGCTCTTCATTACTTTGTGGCCAGAGTAATCTTGGAAACACACAAATCTGACCACATTCCTGCCATTAAGATCCTTAAATGGCCCCCCACTCCCCATATGGTAGAAGTTCATGCTCATTAGCATGCTATCCAGGGGCCTGCATGATCTGCCCCCAGCTTACCTCTCCGTTGTCTATTCGTGCCATAGCCCCCATTGTCCCATACCCACGTCATGCTCCCTAAACTGCTCGATTTTCTCTTACTTCCAAGACTTTCATGCTAGGCCAAGGCCCGGCAAGTCTTCTCTCTTACCAAGATCCCTCACCCTGCACTTTGGGTGGGTGACTCCCATTAGTCCTTTTTCTTGAAGATTCACACTTGGGCTTCCTCTTTTTTGGCAAGTCTTGCTCTGTCTTTCCTCTGCAGACAAAGTTAAATGCCCTTCTCTTCATGCTTCCATAGAACTGTCCGGTGCATACTCGGAGCTTGGCATGTATCAACACTGGATTGTTATTTCTTCTTTACCTACCTGTATCTCTAGCTAAAATTGGAGATACTTGACAGCAGAGACTGTATCTTATTCATTCTTACAACCCTTAGCACCTGGCTTATGTCCACACACTTCATGATTTTAATTTATGGAACATTTACCATGTGCAAAAAGTGCTTCTAGGGTCATCTCATTTAATCTCCATCACAATCTCATTAGGTAGACCTTATTGGTATTGTATTATTGTTCTATAGATAAGGAAAGCGAGAGTGAGGTTCAACCACCACCCAGGTATGTAGCAGGTGTCAGAGCCAGAATTTGAACCTAGGTCCCAATTGTGTCTACAGGGCCCAAGTTCTTAACAGCTACACCATTTATTATTCAGTAACATTAAAAAAAAAACCAAAAAAACGAACATCTTTGAGCCCTAGTCTTCAGTAAGTGGTTAGTGACTAAATGGAGCTTAGGTGAGAATTTTTTGTCCTTTCTTTTCTGGAACACTAAAATGTCTGTATCTCCCCCAGAAAATTGTTGGGCATTGGTCATTTATATTAATATTAGAAAAACAACTTTCAGTTCTACTCTCCAATGAGGGTACCACTTCCTCAGATAATCCTGATGGACGCTGCTCATTCTTCCCCATCCCGAGTTCTTAGGGGTGGAGAAATGGGGAAGGGTAGGGTTTCCCCCTTTTAATTCCAAGCTGTTGATCTGAGATCAGTACTTCTGCACTTGCCTCCAAAAAGCCCCTCCTTTGAGGTTACTGCCAGTCAGTGCTCTTGGCCAAGTCCCCTTATCCATTGAGGATTTGGGCTCCTGGTCTTCCTTCCTACCCTCAGTGCTGCCATCGCTCTGTGAAACGTGATATATAAATGGACATCTCTTTCACACTCCTTCCTTTTAACTCCTTGACCTTCCTCAACGCTAATGAGTTTCAGCTCCTTTCTAGTTCAATCTGCTCCCCTGGCCACCACTAACCCAGTGGTTGTCAACCAGGGCTGTTCATCAGAATAATCTGTAGAGTTCTATAAAAGACCAATGTCTAGGACCCATGCAGAACCTACTGTAGCAGGATTTCTGGGGGCGGGGAGACCTGGACAAATGATTTTCTAAGCTCCACAGATGATGTGCAGAGTGGAGGACCACAGGTACTCCAGGCCTTTTCATTATCCGAATTACCCTTTCTTTGAAAGATTAAACCCTGTTATCCCAGCCTCCCATCCTGCTATCTTTCCAGCCCTTAATCCTATTTTACTTATTCTTTGGTCTCAACAAAAACTCTAGTCCCTGGATCCCTCTATTTTTAAGCCAAGGTCCCAGCTTCCTCCTGGCCTAGACTCTTTGGTCCATCATTTAAATTGCTCTTAAGCCACTGCTTTGGAAGCAATGCCACTCTCTGACCTACTTTTGCAACTCTCCTGCAAAATTCTACTCTGAGAGAATCCAACCATGAAACCTCCACTTCTAGACTGAGGCTGAT